AATGAGCAGGGAGAGAGGGAGCTTGGTGAGGGGAGGCAGGGCTGGGGTCAAGGGAGGGTTGGAGGTTTTGAGTGGTGAGGTGCAGGCTGGGGAGTGGGGGAGGGTTGTGTGGGGTTCAGGATGTGGTGGGGTGGGTGGGTTGAGGAGGGGCTGAGGAGGTCCCAGATCAGATGGAAGGGCTCAGGGGCACGGTGGGGAACCCGCCCTGACGGGAAGGTCAGTGGGGACGTACCATTCATACAGACCGAGCCAGAACCTCTGTGTGTCTGACACGTCCCCCGCCCCCCAGGCCAAGCTGCGGGGCCGAAACCGTTCTGTGGAGGAGGGGGCTCAGCCGGGGGAGGCCAAGACAGCTCTGCCTAAGGAGCCCCATGTCCAGCGCTCGAAGTCCTGCAAGCTCCCTGGCTTGGGGGGGAAACCCCTGGCGCTGCCCCCCAAGCCAGAGAAATCCTCAGGGTGAGTGTGCGGAGTGTGTGTCTGGTAGGGAGTGTTTTATGTTTGTGTGTGTGTGTGTGTGTGTGTGTGTGTGTGTGTGTGTGTGTGTGTGTGTGTGTGTGTTTCAAATTGTAGACCTGTATTTGTATGTGGCTGGAGAAATGATATTTGTGCATTTCGATGTGCACCACCAGCACAAACACAGGCTGCCTGCCGGCAGTGGGCGCTCTGCTGATCAGCTGGGTGGCTGCCCAAACTCTCAGCTTACAGGGAACAGTCGGTGGGATGTGTGTAGATGGGGATGTAGCCCCTGGGGTCAGAACTGTGTGGATATGGGAGGGTTGGGGGTGGGTGTGTGTGTGTGTGTGTGTGTGTGTGTGTGTGTGTGTGTGTGTGTGTGGGAGTGTTGGGGGTGTTAAGAAAGAAGAAGAGGAGAATTTTCTATTGCAATTGCAGATACATTAATCGTCTGCTGGGAGCCGAGCAGAAGGTTTTTACATGATAAAGAAGCCAGATAATTAAGGATGGCAGCCTCTTCATTTTGTGTGGGTTTTGTTATTTTTATTATCATTAAATTGCTTCTAGTGACCTGTAATATGTTTGTATAGTAACAATTACAAACCTGGGAGGTCCTGCTTCCTGCACCACACCTGGAAACACCTGTTAATTTTAGCCTGATACAGGGCCTGGCTGATGCTCCCCAATGCAAAGGAAACTAACTCAGCACTTCTTCACTCGTCTTGGTCGGGGGCTATTTTAAATAGGAGCTGATGGTACGAGAGAGAGAGAGAGAGAGAGAAAGAAAAAGAGGGTGGGGGGGAAA